CATCTAGACCCACCTCCACCACCGTTTACCTGTAACTCCACATTTCCCATGGCTAATCCACCTAACTTACACGTCCCTGGATACTATGGGCCATTTAGCATGGCAAATCCATCTAACCTGCACATCTTTGGGCTGTGGGAGGAAACTGAAGCACCCAGAGGAAACCCACACAGACATAGGGAGAACATGCAAACTTCATACAGATAATCGCCCAAGGGCGGAATGGAACCTGGGTCCCTGGTGGTGTGAGGCAGCACTGTTAACCACTGAGCCACCATGCCACCCACGATCATATAGCGTGATCTCAATAATTGCACAATCATCTTAATCAATAATTCTTCTTTCTGCCTTTAATGCCACAAGCTTCAACTTTAGATAACAAGCGCTTATGAAGGACTCTATCAAATGCATTCTTGAAAACTATATAAATAAATTCATGCCCAATATTTTGGTCACCTCTTCAAAAGATTTGATCAGGTGTGTCACTCATAAACCATTCTTTTACATAAATCTGTTTCAGGCAGATTTGTACAGAAATTTCAAAACATGTGAATTTTATCAAATGTTCAACAAATATAATTATCTTAATAGAATCTAATTTGCATAATATATACTTATAATGCATTTGTTACTGATATCCTTATATTTTGTGAACCTCCTAATCATTGTGATGTAACGCCCAAGGGGTCTGTGTCTGCGCTGACAACTAGAGCAAACACAGAAATAAACAAACAAAACTATTCAGCATCTGAATTCAGCTAAATTACTGTCTTTTAAACATTCAGGTATGAATTAAAAATCTCTGCGCAAGTCACAAATTACTCATGCATTTGTGTACATGCTAAGAAGGGAAATTAAGAAAATCTTTGCCTTTGAAAATAACTATTATGGTCCTTATGAAATGCAGTCCTTTTTGGTCTCTGTTATACACTCCAGCAGTACCAGCCTTCAAAATTAGGTTTCATAATCTCAACCTCTCATCTGCTTCAAATCAGTAAATCAGGGCTTCATTCTTTTTACACTTTACCCTTACTTGTTGGTCTTCCAGAACAAGGAGTTGACCTTGACCGAGTGTTACAGACTGGCACATACCAAGATCTAGGACTATGCGCTGAGGGACACTCGAAAGGTTGGGGCAGCTGCCGCTGAGGCACAGTGGGGAAAGACCACCACCTAAGGTTTTCCTGCTGAAGGTAAATGGGGGTCTGTTCAGTTATTCCTCCCAATGCTTTAACGCATGTAAATATAGTCTTGTATGTGTAAGAGATGCCTTTGGTTTGTTGGGAATTAGTCAAACTCAAATGTTTGATTGTTTACTTAATATGTTACTGTAAAGAACCAAACTGCATTTGTGACAATGTATATACACAAAGAGTTTTTTTATGAATAAAGTATATGTTTGAAATAAAAAACAAGGTAAAGAAAGCCAGACAAACGGTATGGGAGTAAGCTTTCTCAGTTTGTATTAAACCACTGAAAGCCCATTATTCAGACTTGGAACAGAAAGGAAAGGGAATAAAGAATTAGCTAAGTAACCGAAAGTGAAGAATGCAATGTCATATTTGTGGCAGAGAGTGTTGTATATAACTCTGACTATTCATGAACAGGCAATTATGCATCCTAGTGCCTGCTCATGACATTTTAAGATTTAGGAAGAACAAAGCACAATTGGTTGAGTGTTAATTTAACACTATCACTGAGTCAAATAGCCTGTTTTAATATTACGATTCCAAAGTAATATGTATTTTTAAATAAATTGACACAACTATCCAGCTAATCAATTTAGAAAATGCCTTCAAACTGATAACACTCAAATCAAAATTAATTCTGAAATCTTAGTTTTCTTAACTTGTGCATTCAGATGGCACCGAATTGTTTGATCTGTACATCTCCCCATCTCTTTTGAACTTACAACTTCTACTGAGTTCAGTTACATATCTCAACAGTCCTCCGGAACCATGTCTAAATGTCCTTTCTTCCCTTGTAATCCAAAACCATCCAAGCTATTCAGCCCAGCTTGTCTCCGCCTCCCTAACCTGTCCTTCCTCCCACCTACTAACCTCATCCCGTCCCCTTGACCTGTCCGTCCTCCCTGGACTGACCTATCTCCTCCCTAACTCCCCACCTACACTCACCTTTACTGGCTCCATCCCCGCCTCTTTAACCTGTCTGTCTCCTCTCCACCCATCTTCTCCTCTATCCATCTTCTATCCGCCTCCCCCTCTCTCCCTATTTATTTCAGAATCCCCTTCCCCTCCTCCATTTCTGAAGAAGGGTCTAGGCCCGAAACGTCAACCTTCCTGCTCCTCTGATGCTGCTTGGCCTGCTGTGTTCATCCAGCTCTACACCTTGTTATCGCAGATTCTCCAGCATCTGCAGTTCCTACTATCTCTCAAGCTATTCAATTACAGACAGTACGATGTCTAAGACTAGTCCTAGCTGCAATAGATATGCAGATACTTCTCAGCAGGGGTCACTGGATAGCAAACATTCCACAACATAGGAACACTGAGACAGACTACCTCACCCAGTTGTGTCCCTGTTGACACAAACTAGCTAAAGATCAATTCATGAAGTGAAAAAAGGATTTCTTACTTCAGCAGTCCAATAATATACAGTAGTCTAACCGTCAAATTCTAAATATCGAGAGAGCTGTTAAATATTTGTCTGTAAAGAGCCTAATTGAGGTGATAATCTTTACTAACTAGATTCTTATATGATAATCTAACTTATCACCCAAAGTCATGTAAGCCCAAGAACTGCAGAAATTACATTTGTGCAACAACTATAGCCAGTTAATATAACAGGCTTTAATGTTCATAACTCAAGTTATCGTTTCACAGCTATTCACAAAACAGATGTTCTTCTTAGTACTAACTGTTAATTGGCAGGCATTTAATTCCTCTTTATTTTGGGTAACCATTAATTTGGAACATCTATAGAGATAGCAGATTAAACTGGTCCTTTACCTTTGTTAAGATAATAAGCTTTGCACACAGAGATTGAATGCACAGCAGGATGCAAATTTTTTTTTAAAAAAAGGCTTCTTGAGATTTCTCAAGGGCAACTTCTTGATTTTTGGGGCTTATGTTTTGTTCTTCAGGAGGCCTTTTTGCAATCTAAATAATTCTTCATGAGGTGGTGCGTCCACGTTGAAGCAATACTATTTGCACTTTTATACTGATATATGTAGTATTTAGACTCATAAAAAAGCAGAATTAAAAGAATTCATCAACATCCTCAACAATTTAACACTACATGATTAAACTTGAAGCCACAACATGTAAGGAAAACATTAATTTCCAAGACATGGCAGCACTTAAATTGGCACAGGACTGCTGGCGTAAGTTAGTAACAAATATATCTGTTTAAAAAGCTGATAAATATTTCTATTTACAATAAGTTGTCACCCAAAACATACCTTATGCAGACTGGTGAGCTCACAGGTTGTACGTTGTCCCTAATGCAGTCAATGTACCTCAAATAGTTCATTGTACTTAAGACACACAAATAAAAATCCTTATTGAATAAAACTGTTTAGCATAATTTTATGCAATTCTCAAAGTGTTCATTACAAGAGCATTTACTACATTTCCCCCCATATAATAGCTGTTGAACTCTTAATTTTAACGAGAAAACTCTTCATTAACTTGCTCAGAATTTACTACCTGTTTTCCTATTCCCAGTTTGCTGTGTATTCACTTGTTACATAATTTAAAACTTTTTCTTCCTTTTTGCAGTTTCTCTCCCCTTTGAGGTCTTCTTCACCCTTTACAGCCTCCTCTCCCCCACCTTTTAGACCCACTGTCACACTACTTTGCAGAATACCCCTCTCTCCCTCCACTTTGCAGCAATCCTTCCATTTTTCAGATACCATTTCTCTCTGCACTTTGCTGTTCTTCCTTCCATTTGCAGGGCTCACTCTCTCCCTCTCTCTCTCTGCTTCACAACAGCTCCCCTGCCCTTTCCCTCTACTCTGCAGCTGCCTACTTCCCCTACCAGAGTTTGCAAACTCCCTTTTCCCTCCACTTGCTCTCTTCTTCAACATTGGAACCTCACTTCACCTCCAGGACCCCAAGCCACACTATCTGTGCCCCAGTTTCAGTCCTCATTCTACAGGTCGTGGTCCCCCACCTCAGTCCTCCCCAGTTTTGCTCCTCAGCAACCTGCATTCCTGTTCTCTCATTCCCTGATATTTCCAGCCTTGGTGCCTGCTGTCAGCAGCACCTTTTTGCTCCAATCACCGGCTGGCTCTCACATGTGTTTGCTGCAGACAAGTTGAACCTATCAGCAGCAAGCATGGGATAGAAGCTGCCTGTAATTGAACAAACAACTCCAACTGGGAATACATGTGAACACCACCAACTGCAAATTCCCTTCCAAGCTACTCACCATCCTGACTTGGAAATATATTGCCATTCCTGGAATTCCCTCCCTAACGGTTTTAAGAGTCTATCGACATGGACTGCAGCAGTTCAAGAAGGCAACTCACCACCTTCTCAAAGGCAACTAGGGACAGGCAATAAATGCTGGCCCAACCAGCAATGCCCACGTCCCACGAGTGAATAGAGAAAAAAAAATCATCCGCTGTCCCTGTGCAATTTGAGCTCTGATGTGCAGAGCATTAAATTATGTGAATAATTAATTAAAACATTACATAATTGGGAATAGTTATAGTTGAATATTTATTTTCCAAACTTACACAGGAATTCCAATTTGGCCTTCCTAGGATTTAAAGACCTGTTATGTTCTGTTGTATTATCGTTAATCACTGAATTAGAAAATGGAATCAAAATATTAGCAGCAAGTCTAGTAATACAACACTCAATATGTTATGCAGTACTTTTGTTGACACAAGTTTGTAGAACATGAAATTCCAGTTTGCAAATGGAGCATCTGAATCTTTAAAATTATGGCCTCTATTTCTGCCAATTGTATCATTGCAAAACCCCATCGTCAATCTGTCTTTATTTCTTGTGTCTTTTTAATTCTATGCTTACCCTCGTCCTCCATTTCTCAGGGATGTCTGCATTTCATCCGGCTGCAAAGTTTAATGATGATGCAAGAACAATTCCGTCTGAAAGAAAAGCAGAATAAATGATCATCAGAAATGAATTATGGGATGGATAAAGAGAACAAATGCAAATGAAGATTAAATATCGTGGAAAACAATATTAAAAAGTGAAATCAAATCCTGTGAAGGCATCTTCTCTCCTTACATTTAAACATTGCCTGCATTCACCATACAATTTTTTGGATTTGTCTTATATTATGAAAATGGAGACAAATAAGGTGGCTACTTCTGCAATTTCTGACCAGACGGCCATAAGTTTTTTGGAAAATTCCTAATTGAACATCCTTGGGTGGGGCCCTCTCTTGGGCATTTTGAGACAGAACTATCAGTGGAATTTACACCTGCTTATTGTTTACAGTTTAGCCAAAATTCAAATGCAACAGGATTTTCAGACTTCCTGGATTGAAGTTTACAACTTGGACTTAGCCAAGAGATATATATCAAGTTTTCTGGGGGGCTTTTCACTGTAAGACCTAGTGAATTTTCTCACTGCATCAAGACAAATTCACTGTAGCAGCTACCTGTTCTGTGCCTACGTCTAATTCTGGCCCCATCTTACCAGAAAACATTCCCAGAACAACTCGCGACTCAATGGATATCCTGAAATTCACTAGAAACCTTTGCACTTGCGCCATCTTTAAAAACCTGTTGTGTCCCTGGAGCTGCCCTGCACAGTTCCTAACAGTTACCTGCATGTCACTGATTGAGGGAAGTTGGTGAGCCTCTCTACAGGCAGGGACCTGGTGTTACTGCTGGATGGGATGTTGCAAACATGGAGCATTCTCTTGCTCCAGGATCAGCAGTATGGCCAAGAAACCAGACCATGCCAGCCTGATCCAAGATAGGCACCTGGCGTATTACAGTCTTAGTTGTCTGAAAGAATGCACAGCACTGTATGGAGAAAGTCAATGACCTTCACTACTCTGCCAGTGTAAGCACCACCATCTTCTCTCTGATACCTTATACTCACTCTGTCTCTGCTACTGTACCCACTACTCACCAAGACTCATGCTCTACCACTCTCACTATTGCCTGTAACATCTTTCCTCCCTCACTGTCATCTTCTTGAACCCCTGGCAGCACTAACCCTGTATTGCTTTTACGCTGCCAGCATACTTACTTGGGACACTTCCCTGCCTGCACCAAAAGTAACAGTTGGGCCACCCACTTTCATCTCCCTTAGTTTATTCCTCTCTCTCATTCCAGGATGGAAACAGCCCTCAACAGAGCAGAAAGAGTCAAGACAGGAGGCGCACTGACCAACCTCTTATGTGGAGACCAACCTGACTCTGAGCACCCCACGTGGCTGACTGACATTTCCAAGCCTCCGGACTGATATCAGTAGCTGCCCTTGACTTACTGTGCCGGGATCCCAGAGTGAAGGCTAATCCCCTAGACTTGACTGACACCTGCGGATAACCATGGCCAGCTTCCTGGGTCAGTATCAGCACTAAATGGTAAGGTAAGACAGTAGTTTTATGAACCTGGTATTTGTGGCTTAGGGCACAAAGCAGAAAATGGTAAGGCAAATCACTGCAAGGAAGGGATTCCAGAGCCCCAGTGTAAGCTCAGAGTGAGCGAAAGCTATGGCAGAGAGCAAATATCCCGGAGATTCAGCCGGGTCCAGTCCATGAGCTCTGTGTGTGTCCCTGAGTGCAGCGTCCTTGCTGCAGCATTACAATGGGAGTTGCCGATGCAACCCAAGGTGAAACCCTGGAGTGCTGATTTGTCCTGTAAGTGCATCAGTGATGGCCATGACAGTTCTCAGAGGTGGGCGAAATGCAGACGCCAGTTTTACTGGATGTGTGGTACACATGGCTGGTGCCCATGGAGCATGCCTGGAAATACTGGTGTCCAGTGTCCAACATGAAGGTCATTTGGAGCAAGCAACAAGCTGAATTCCCCAGAAACCTGCTCTGGTTTTCATCTTAAGATTTCTTGACATCTAGTTGGTTTGGCAAACTTCATTAGACAGAAGACTGAATATTAATGAGGTAAGCTCAGCCATCCACAAGGAGTTTAACAAGCAATAATTCCCTTAATTGGAAACTCCCTGTTGCCTAGGGAGAAACTCACCATGTCGCACGTGGAGAGTGTTTGGCAAACTTCATTAGACAGAAGACTGAATATTAATGAGGTAAGCTCGGCCATCCACAAGGAGTTTAACAAGCAATGAAATGTCAGATCGAACAATAATGAAAAACGTCAAATGTAAGCCTTGAGTATGAGTCTAAAGCTCAAGTAACTGCTTAGTTAAGCAAAACTAGGTTTTTTAAACAGCATTCCAGCAACTTCTTTAGTATGTCATTATTTGAATACTTGGTGAAAAATACAACTTAAATACCTTGTCAATGCATCAATTAGCTGCACGAATAATGAAAGAAGACATTAACTTGAGACACCAGGTAAAGCACCCTTGCACTGCAAACTTGTACATTCACCTGACAAAGGTAGCTGTGCCTTTCTTTTTAACATCTCATCTGGCAGCCAGCATCTCCAACAGTGCAGTACTCCCCCAGAACCAAACTGTTTTATTTGAACTCACAACCATCTGATTCAGAAGCAAAAATGGTGCCAAGTGAGCCATAGCTGACACCATCATCCTTGAACTAAATTACAGTGCTGATGGTAAACATGGATAATGAAAACTTTAAAAGTAATAAAGGAATACTTCTGGGGCAAGCAGAGGACATGAGTGAGAGATAGTAGGAACTGCAGATGCTGGAGAATCCGAGACAACAAGGTGCAGGGCTGGATGAACACAGCAGGCCAAGCAGCATCATAGGAGCAGGAAGGCTGACGTTTCGGGCCTAGACCCTTCATCAGAAAAGGGGGAGGGGAAGGGGGTTCTGAAATAAATAGGGAGAGAGTGGGAGGCGGATAGAAGAGGGATAGAGGAGAGGATAGGTGGAGAGGAAACAAACAGGTCGAAGAGGCGGGGATGGAGCCAGTAAAGGTGAGTGTAGGTGGGAGTTAGGAAGGGGATAGGTCAGTCCAGGGAGGACGGACAGGTCAGGGGGGTGGGATGAGGTTAGTCGGTAGGAGATGGAGGTGCGGCTTGAGGTGGGAGGAGGGGATAGGTGGGAGGAAGAACAGGTTAGGGAGGCAGGGACAAGCTGGACTGGTTTTGGGATGCGGTAGGGGGAGGGGAGATTTTGAAACTTGTGAAATCCACATTGATACCATTGGGCTGCAGGGTTCCCAAGCGGAATATGAGTTGCTGTTCCTGCAACCTTCGGGTGGCATCGTTGTGGCACTGCAGGAGGCCCAGGATGGACATGTCGTCTGAGGAATGGGAGGGGGAGTCCACGCAATAAGAACCAAAAAAGAATCCCCCTCGTCCTCACGTACCACCCCACCAACCTCCGGATCCAACGCATCATCCTCCGACACTTCTGCCATCTGCAATCCGACCCCACCACCAAAGACATCTTTCCCTCCCCACCCTTATCTGCTTTCCAGAGGGACAACTCTCTCCGTGACTCCCTTGTCCGCTCCACACTCCCCTCCAGCTCCACCACACACGGCACTTTTCCCTGCAACCGCAGGAAGTGCTACACCTGCCCCCATACCTCCTCCCTCACCCCCATCCCAGGCCCCAAGAAGACTTTCCACATCAAGCAGATGTTCACCTGCACATCTGCCAATGTGGTATACTGCATCCGCTGTACCCGGTGTGGCTTCCTCTACATCGGGGAAACCAAGCGGAGGCTCAGGGACCGCTTTGCAGAACACCTACGCTCGGTTCGCAATAAACAACTGCACCTCCCAGTCGCAAACCATTTCAACTCCCCCTCCCATTCCTCAGACGACATGTCCATCCTGGGCCTCCTGCAGTGCCACAACGATGCCACCCGAAGGTTGCAGGAACAGCAACTCATATTCCGCTTGGGAACCCTGCAGCCCAATGGTATCAATGTGGATTTCACAAGTTTCAAAATCTCCCCTCCCCCTACCGCATCCCAAAACCAGTCCAGCTCGTCCCTGCCTCCCTAACCTGTTCTTCCTCCCACCTATCCCCTCCTCCCACCTCAAGCCGCACCTCCATCTCCTACCGACCAACCTCATCCCGCCCCCTTGACCTGTCCGTCCTCCCTGGACTGACCTATCCCCTTCCTAACTCCCTACCTACACTCACCTTTACTGGCTCCATCCCCGCCTCTTCGACCTGTTTGTTTCCTCTCCACCTATCCTCTCCTCTATCCCTCTTCTATCCGCCTCCCACTC